GGCCAGTAAAGGTTGTCACGATCCGTCTTATTACAAACGTGTTTTCTATTTTTTCAAACAATTACAAAAAAAGAGGAGATTCTCAATTCGACTGCATTTTTTACGTGTGTTACCACAGTACTTTTCCTAGATGAACCGATTTTAGATTCTTTCTTAATTTGAAAGCTGGTGCTTTTCATTTGGTTCCTATATAAATTTAATCGAGATCTGGCCAGTAGTTTTTGAGTTATCCTTAATAATGCGTATTTAATTGACTTCGACTACTTCTGATTTTATTTATTTTGCAGTCGGTTGTACAAGATTTTTCGTCATTGCTCGACAACGATCCCAATACAAGAATTTATTGATAGGCTCTATGATTACTGTGGTTTAAGAAGAGACCTTCTAACTAAATAAGTCTCTTTACCGCGGTTTCACTGCCTTCGCAAAATTTGAATTTTGCTGTTAAGTTGTATACTTTATATACATACTAGTTTTTTTTATAGAATGAGGGTGACAGACAAGCACACAGTCCACCTGATGGTAAGTGGTTGCTGTAGCCCATAGATATCTTCGTTTGCGGATTAAAATGCAGATGAGTTGTCAGCCGTGAGGACTAAGATAGAATGCCTCTTTTCCAGTAAAAAGGGTCTCCGGTTCTCTACACTCACCATACGAAACACAGCAGCATTAAGCTGCTACTTTACGCTGGTATTCTGTGAGAGCGTGGTCCTTCCCCGGTCGAGCCGACCCATTCGTGCTACAACTATACTATTAACATATTTATATTTGAATATAATGACTTTATATATATAAATGACTTTGTCATTTGAGTAATAAAATTTCTATATAAAGAACTTCGTTACACCACAGAATAAATAATAGCTAAGAGAACTTACACTAAATTTAATATTATTTCAATACATTTGTACGAATTTAGAAATAAACATATAAGTATTATGTTTTCTCAAAATATTTCGGTTTACCATACTTATTAACCCATTTAGCGCCTTCTTAAAAACAGAAGAAAACCCTTATGTACCAGTGGAAAATTGGTTCTAATTATTAATAGTCACGACTTTGCTTTTTTTTTTGCAAAAACCAATTCCCTAAAAACTTCTTAAGAAATAAATTTAAAGTATTCCATTGCGACGTTCTCCATAATACTAATAAAATGTTATAGTTATAAAATAATAAGTATTGATAATACCGGGAAACGACTTTCTGAGCGAAGATTATCGCTTTTCATCTTAGTGATTACAATTCAATAGCGTCTAAGAAAGGAGAGTCAAGCCAAACTTAGCACATTAGAAGCTGTCTGTTAGAACTAATCATGAGAACGAACACACTTTTCGGTTGTTTACTCACAAAATTTATGATATGAACACAACCTTTAAAAATATGGGAATTTTATCGAAAAAATACCGATGTTTGATTGGACTCACTACGAATTTCTCTTTTATCATGGATGGGTTTTACTTACATAAATTGCACATGGACAACCATCTATACCAGAGCAATTATTTATTGTAGACTATACAATGTTCTGTGTGGAATTCAAACTCGCGGCTCATATGTCCTTATTTTTTGTACAATAGTGGTGACAAACAAGCACACAGTCCACCTCATGGTAAGTGGATGCTGCGACCCATGGACATTTGCATCCACGTAGGTTAAGAATCATAATGCAGATGCGTTATCCTCTGAGGAATAAGATGAAATCCCTTGTTTCCAGTAAAAAGCGTCTCCGGTATCTAACAAGTGGTTGCTATTTCACACTGCTTATCTGTGAGAGCGTGGTCCTTCCCCAGTCGATTCGATTCGTTCATGCTACAACCAAAATATAGCCACAGCGGGGCTCTACCACGTAGAAATATATAATTTATTATACACACATCAACACTGTTTAGGGACATTTAACGTTAATACGTAACATTAAAAGTACTGGCCTATATGGCAAAAGAGACTTGAATGTCAATTTGACCCTGGTAAATTTCTTTTCCGTGTTTAATTAAAAAAAAGTCTGACGGACGCGGTAAAATTGAATCTATGTAACTTAATAACTAAATTGTTTTTAAACGAAATTTTACTTTTTTCGCAAAGTTGGTAATTGATTTAATACTGTTCGTTTTTCTATACAATAGCAGACGACTTATAAACAGAGAAGAGATGTAGATTTTTTTTTTAAATTGTATAGGCATGTTGGAAGCGGGTGCGATCCAATGCAATATATATGATACCATTAGTACCATTTAAAACATTATATCAAGACTGTGGTCCCGCTACCGGGATACTGGCGAGGTGGCTGTGCGGCGCACTGCGAATAGTCGAAAGACAAAACAAGACCGATTACAATTTAAGGCCAAAATAAGCTAGTGGTTTTGAAGTTGCTGTTGGAAAACCAAATCATGGTGAACGATCAAACTTTGAGGAGGAGACTACACAGATTCGACCTTCATGCTCATAGACTTCAGATTCCAGAACTACGACGCATACAGCCAACGAACATTTGGTTCCAGAAATAGGGTTAGGGTAGTGTGTCCTCAGACGAATCTTGGTCGGGTTTCAAGCCAGATTCAGGAAGAACAAGTGTTTCACGAGTACCTGGGCGTGAGAGCCATCTGCAAAATCTCCAGGAAGTCCATCCATATCAAGGTGGATGATATAATATTTCTACCTTGAGATGATGGGCGACAGAATACGCCTTCAGATAAGAACTCAAAATAATAAAAGTCCGGTTGCCAACACGTCTGCCAAGCTTGGCAAGTACGGCAAATATCCGCGCCATTGGAGGAGGCTTATGCTCAGCAGTGTACTTTTGATAGGCTGTGATAATAAATGATGACCGAGATGAGGTGCTGAAACCTGTAGTCCCATCACACCGGTTGCAAATAGGTCAAGATTTTATGCTTTTGCATGACAATACCCGCCTACATACAGCTTGATTGGTAACTTAGTGTCTATAACAACATAATCCGTCTAATAACCATTAGTAGTTTAAAATTATTCTCAAATTTAAACTAGAATCAGTTTTACGAAAGAAGTCTTGCGGAACTATGCGAAATAATAAATAAAGTATACAACAGCAAAATTCAAATTTTGTGTAGACAGTGGCACAGCGGTTAAAAGACTTCTTAGATAGAAGGTCTCTTCTTAAACCATAGTAATTAGGGAATGCAATCTCGCGAGATTTTAGACCTATCCGAGATTACGAGATTTCCGAGATCTCACCTAATTGGGTATTTTTACTAAAAACATTCGCTAATACTATAATAATTCCGTTTATTGATTTTCAATATATAAGATAAAAATAATACATACATGTAATTGGCATATTATAATCATTTATTTTAAAATAAAACACAATATTACGTTATAATATAATATTCGTCAGTCTTATTCTTATTATATAAACAGAAAATCAGCCTTCTGCATCTGCAGTATTAATAACAAAAAACTTAAAATAAAACAAAAAGAACACTTCGAAATATAACAAAGATCAACCTTCTGCAGTGTTAAGAACAAAAAACTCAAAATAAAACAAAAAGAACACTTCTAAACATAACAAAAATCAGCCTTCTGCAGTGTCAAGAACAAAAAATTTAAAATAAAAATAAAAAAACTTCGAAATATAACACTAAATCAGCCTTCTGCAGTATTAAGAACAAAAAACTTAAAATAAAAATAAAAAACTTCGTATAACACTAAATCAGCCTTCTGCAGTATTATGAACAAAAAACTTAAAATAAAACAAAAAAAACACTTCGAAATAATACGAAATGTAACACTTATTCAGCCTTTTGCAACATTTGTAATTTTAAAGGATATGTCAGTATTATTAGACAGTGTATTAAAAGGATAAGTTAATTTTGGAAGTGGCTTCACAAAATACACAGCATATCAAGAGTTTCATCTGATAGACGACTCCTGATTTTACAGGCCAAGTACCTCGCGGCCGAAAATGCTCTTTCTGCCTCTACACTAGTCGGAACCACATTCGACAAACAGTTGTGTACAAACTGAAGGAGTTCCAGCTTCATACAAATTCATGTCTTTTTTAACGAGTATCTCCAATGAATTTGCAGAATTTGTTGAACGATTGAGCTTTTTCAATGCTGTCAACGATTCTAGTAGCTCCTCTTGAAGGGAAATACTTTTTCCAGCCATGGACAGAACAGAAAGGGGCACATCATCATTAGCGTCTTCGCTTTCGCCAAGTACAACATCATTACAAGCAGCTTCTGATGTTGAAGGAAGTGGCTCTGTAACAGATGAGCTTTCTTGTGTATGATAGTAGTATTGCGTCTTGCAATGCAATCTCTCTATAAGTTTTTTAATTTCTTTTCAGATACTGACTTTCTGTGACATTTTGAACGTTTCGTCTCGCGCATACTCTTCCAAATCTTCCTCGTATTTGACATAATCTCTCAAATATATATCAATACTAAAGTCAAGCAAGTTCAGCGCTCAGCTATGCGGTTTCTCAATGACTCTGCTAGTTTTCTTGCCAATGTTGTCGTCAGTTCTTCAAGTTTGCGTATCATAAATCTTAAAGTCGTTTCGGCAGTAACCAGGTCAGAATCTCGACGGCATAAGACCTCCACAGCGAGTTTGATTGGCTGAAATACTCTGTCTAATACTTTATTAAATGTCGATATCATATCAGCAAGGCTTGACCAGCGTGTTTTGCAATCTAATTGTAGCTGTAAGTTTTTGCCAAATTCTTGGTTAATGTAAACTTGGAGGAGATCGTTTTTTGTTGGCGATTTCTTAAAAAGCCTGACCAGTTTTCTGACCTTTTCTATTATATTCACGTACTCTGTATCCAGATCTACCTCTCTTGTTGGAAAAAAAGAGTAAAAAACGTCATCTTCGTCATCGGAGTTTATTTCGGTTTCTTCTCCTGATACATCAAATATCTCATCAATGTCATTGTCCTCAGACAAAGATAAATCTTGTTTTTTGTACAGAACGTCCATGATAGACAACTGAATGCCGTGGGCATAGCAGAGCTGATGTCGTCATCGTCCTAATTTGATCATTACCTTAGCCCCATCTGTTGTAATGTTGACTACATCATCGTCAAGAGACAATTCAAATTCTGAAAGTCTGTTCTTCAAAAGATCCACTGCAGTTTCGGCAGGCATACTGCCGTATATTCTGATCAAGCTTAAACTCCAAAATATGGCTTCATTTTCTTTGCATGTGTGGACATTCTCGTTCATGTAATGTTTATTTCTAGAGGAAGTCCACTCATCGAAGGTTAATGTAAATCTGTATCTGTAGTTATCTTCCTTTAGCTGAGAAAGTTCTTGTTTAAGTTTTATTTTTAATGTCTTTCCGTAAGTAATTACCTTAAGTTTAGGAGATGACGGTAATTTGTGTCCCTAAGAACAAATAAGGTCTCTCAGGTCTTTTGAGGTGCAAAATACACGAAAAGGTAAACCGTCTTTAGCCACCATTCTTGATACCATAATTTCCTTCGAAGTATCTTCTTTGTGGAAATGGTCCGTAATTTTTCGCTTTTTAGGTACAGTTGATGATTTTGATTGCTGAAGAGTACTATCTGAAGAAGAAGCTGGTCCAGAAGCTGCTGGCTCTGGCGCTACTGGCCCGGCAACCGGAGTCGTCATTGAAGTTTCTACAATTTCCACAATCTGAACATCCTCAACCTTTTTTTTCGAATCAATGTTATGTATAGACTTCAAGTGTGTGTGTAAGCCTTTTGGAGAACGGTCTTTAGCTTTCAAAACCTTCCCACACACCTTGCACTTTGCACTGAGTCCATCATTGGCTCTGAAGCAATATTTCCAAACTTCTAATGAACTTCCGTATTCACTGTACACTGTTTTTGAGTTTGTCGACATAGTTCAATGCCAAATTACATTAAATATTACACTAAAATAAACAGTTAATCACAAAAATCCCTTAAATTCAACAAAAACTAGATAAGTACGTAAACAAACGCACGCGTGCCGGCAAAGTGATGACAGTGAGTGAGCCGGGCCTCGTCCCCCGCAAGTCCCGCCCGAGTAGTGCCTACAGCATGCGCAGAACAGTTCGCGCTACGATATACACACCGATTTTGCTGCGCCGCTCAATCTCGCAATCTCGCGAGATCTCGTACAAAAATTGAACAAGACTCAATCTCGCAAAATATGGACGAGATCTCGCGAGATCTCGTTTTGAACGAGATTGCATTCCCTAATAGTAATCATAGAGACTATCAATAAAGTATTGTATTGGGATCCTTGTCAAGCACTGGCTTATTAGATGAACAAATGGTAAAATTAAATTTTTTTGTACAACCGACTTCAAAATAAACAAAATTAGAACATCATCCATGTAGTCGAAGTCAATTAAATACGCATTATTAAGGATAACTCAAAAACTACTGGTCAGATCTTGATCACATTTATATGGGAACCAAATGAAACGCACCAGCTTTCAAATAAAAAAAGAATCATCTAAATCGGTTCACCTACGAAAAAGTACTCTGGTAACACAAATAAAAAAATACAGTCGAATTGAGAATCTCCTCCTTTTTTTCTCATCGGTTGCAAAAAAACACGTTTGTAATAAGACGGATCGTGACAACCTTTACTGGCCCACCCAGTCCACGGATTTAAATTTGATTGAGCACGCGTAGGGTGTTCTTCAACAAGGCTTGAAGCTTCGCCTTGGCTTTACGATTTTTTCGCGAGAACCTGGTGACAGAAACTAAACTTTTCATGCATCTGATTTAAAGAAAAAACCTTTCTGCTTAGTCGCTGTTTAAGGTATTCTTAATGCCAATATCATCACCTACTTATAAAGGACAAACTTAAGTGTCTATAAAAACGATAACAGTATCCGTCCCATTGCTGTTTATTAAAATGCATGCAAGAACATAATCTCTAACCTACGGAAAATATCATAATATTCAACTAGGCTTTAGCACTAAAGAAGTTTATGAGGATGCGGTACCTCCTAAATTCAGAGAGTAAATTATTTAATAAAAACTGATGTAACTGATGCAGATGTAAGTAAGGGCCGATCTAAGATTTTTTTAATAATGCTGATATGGTCAATAACATCCCCGAAATTTACTATTACATTTGCCAATATTACCGTCAAAACACAAACTTGTTTTACGAAAAGCATATTATTACTATACACCATATAATTGTAATACTAAGGGTGTCGGAGACAGGCAGCAAGCATCGTCTTCCTTAACAACTAGAAAATAAAAAACATACGTGAGTGTCGTGGAACAGTCGGTTGGAACTAAGTTCCTTTCATAGTATATTATTAAACGTATTATATTATTGATTAACAAATATAAATAAATTAATTATTAGCGTCTATTAAAATGAAGCGTCATTTAAAATAAAATACACTATGACAAAAGGGGTAGTGACGGAAAAATCTTACACTTTTTGTCGCCTAGCTCCCATCCGCCAAACCTGACCGAGATGAGGTGCTGAAACCTGTAGTCCCATCACACCGGTTGCAAATAGGTCAAGATTTTATGCTTTTGCATGACAATACCCGCCTACATACAGCTTGATTGGTAACTTAGTGTCTATAACAACATAATCCGTCTAATAACCATTAGTAGTTTAAAATTATTCTCAAATTTAAACTAGAATCAGTTTTACGAAAGAAGTCTTGCGGAACTATGCGAAATAATAAATAAAGTATACAACAGCAAAATTCAAATTTTGTGTAGACAGTGGCACAGCGGTTAAAAGACTTCTTAGATAGAAGGTCTCTTCTTAAACCATAGTAATTAGGGAATGCAATCTCGCGAGATTTTAGACCTATCCGAGATTACGAGATTTCCGAGATCTCACCTAATTGGGTATTTTTACTAAAAACATTCGCTAATACTATAATAATTCCGTTTATTGATTTTCAATATATAAGATAAAAATAATACATACATGTAATTGGCATATTATAATCATTTATTTTAAAATAAAACACAATATTACGTTATAAATCGAACTTAGATATATTTTACATGTCCAAAGATAAATTCAAACAAGAAGTTCTCAAGCTTTTACGGTAAATAACTTATCTATTTGCATACCTATTATTATAACATTAAAGTATATCATTTCATATGTTGTTTATTTTTTTTTTTATATTGATATATTATAAATAATACGTATGATAAAACATTTATTTATATATCTATAGACCCATACCTACACGAACACACACACACACACACACACACACACACACACTCACACACACACACACACACACACACACACACACACACACTCACACACACGCACACACATGCGTGCGTGCGCGCGCGTGCGCACGCGCATACCTCTTAGTCATAGTTTACTAGTTTCACCTTGTTCTTATTTGATATGTATTAAGAGTAGGAGATACCATTTAAGATTTATACAGGGAAACCTATAATTGGCTGTTATAATCATTTATAAATTATTAACATTGTATATTCATAAGAGCTGTTGGTTTTCTAAATAAATAAATAAATAAAATAAATAATATAATATTCGTCAGTCTTATTCTTATTATATAAACAGAAAATCAGCCTTCTGCATCTGCAGTATTAATAACAAAAAACTTAAAATAAAACAAAAAGAACACTTCGAAATATAACAAAGATCAACCTTCTGCAGTGTTAAGAACAAAAAACTCAAAATAAAACAAAAAGAACACTTCTAAACATAACAAAAATCAGCCTTCTGCAGTGTCAAGAACAAAAAATTTAAAATAAAAATAAAAAAACTTCGAAATATAACACTAAATCAGCCTTCTGCAGTATTAAGAACAAAAAACTTAAAATAAAAATAAAAAACTTCGTATAACACTAAATCAGCCTTCTGCAGTATTATGAACAAAAAACTTAAAATAAAACAAAAAAAACACTTCGAAATAATACGAAATGTAACACTTATTCAGCCTTTTGCAACATTTGTAATTTTAAAGGATATGTCAGTATTATTAGACAGTGTATTAAAAGGATAAGTTAATTTTGGAAGTGGCTTCACAAAATACACAGCATATCAAGAGTTTCATCTGATAGACGACTCCTGATTTTACAGGCCAAGTACCTCGCGGCCGAAAATGCTCTTTCTGCCTCTACACTAGTTGGAACCACATTCGACAAACAGTTGTGTACAAACTGAAGGAGTTCACCTTTAATTCTTCATACAAATTCATGTCTTTTTTAACGAGTATCTCCAATGAATTTGCAGAATTTGTTGAACGATTGAGCTTTTTCAATGCTGTCAACGATTCTAGTAGCTCCTCTTGAAGGGAAATACTTTTTCCAGCCATGGACAGAACAGAAAGGGGCACATCATCATTAGCGTCTTCGCTTTCGCCAAGTACAACATCATTACAAGCAGCTTCTGATGTTGAAGGAAGTGGCTCTGTAACAGATGAGCTTTCTTGTGTATGATAGTAGTATTGCGTCTTGCAATGCAATCTCTCTATAAGTTTTTTAATTTCTTTTCAGATACTGACTTTCTGTGACATTTTGAACGTTTCGTCTCGCGCATACTCTTCCAAATCTTCCTCGTATTTGACATAATCTCTCAAATATATATCAATACTAAAGTCAAGCAAGTTCAGCGCTCAGCTATGCGGTTTCTCAATGACTCTGCTAGTTTTCTTGCCAATGTTGTCGTCAGTTCTTCAAGTTTGCGTATCATAAATCTTAAAGTCGTTTCGGCAGTAACCAGGTCAGAATCTCGACGGCATAAGACCTCCACAGCGAGTTTGATTGGCTGAAATACTCTGTCTAATACTTTATTAAATGTCGATATCATATCAGCAAGGCTTGACCAGCGTGTTTTGCAATCTAATTGTAGCTGTAAGTTTTTGCCAAATTCTTGGTTAATGTAAACTTGGAGGAGATCGTTTTTTGTTGGCGATTTCTTAAAAAGCCTGACCAGTTTTCTGACCTTTTCTATTATATTCACGTACTCTGTATCCAGATCTACCTCTCTTGTTGGAAAAAAAGAGTAAAAAACGTCATCTTCGTCATCGGAGTTTATTTCGGTTTCTTCTCCTGATACATCAAATATCTCATCAATGTCATTGTCCTCAGACAAAGATAAATCTTGTTTTTTGTACAGAACGTCCATGATAGACAACTGAATGCCGTGGGCATAGCAGAGCTGATGTCGTCATCGTCCTAATTTGATCATTACCTTAGCCCCATCTGTTGTAATGTTGACTACATCATCGTCAAGAGACAATTCAAATTCTGAAAGTCTGTTCTTCAAAAGATCCACTGCAGTTTCGGCAGGCATACTGCCGTATATTCTGATCAAGCTTAAACTCCAAAATATGGCTTCATTTTCTTTGCATGTGTGGACATTCTCGTTCATGTAATGTTTATTTCTAGAGGAAGTCCACTCATCGAAGGTTAATGTAAATCTGTATCTGTAGTTATCTTCCTTTAGCTGAGAACGTTCTTGTTTAAGTTTTATTTTTAATGTCTTTCCGTAAGTAATTACCTTAAGTTTAGGAGATGACGGTAATTTGTGTCCCTAAGAACAAATAAGGTCTCTCAGGTCTTTTGAGGTGCAAAATACACGAAAAGGTAAACCGTCTTTAGCCACCATTCTTGATACCATAATTTCCTTCGAAGTATCTTCTTTGTGGAAATGGTCCGTAATTTTTCGCTTTTTAGGTACAGTTGATGATTTTGATTGCTGAAGAGTACTATCTGAAGAAGAAGCTGGTCCAGAAGCTGCTGGCTCTGGCGCTACTGGCCCGGCAACCGGAGTCGTCATTGAAGTTTCTACAATTTCCACAATCTGAACATCCTCAACCTTTTTTTTCGAATCAATGTTATGTATAGACTTCAAGTGTGTGTGTAAGCCTTTTGGAGAACGGTCTTTAGCTTTCAAAACCTTCCCACACACCTTGCACTTTGCACTGAGTCCATCATTGGCTCTGAAGCAATATTTCCAAACTTCTAATGAACTTCCGTATTCACTGTACACTGTTTTTGAGTTTGTCGCATAGTTCAATGCCAAATTACATTAAATATTACACTAAAATAAACAGTTAATCACAAAAATCCCTTAAATTCAACAAAAACTAGATAAGTACGTAAACAAACGCACGCGTGCCGGCAAAGTGATGACAGTGAGTGAGCCGGGCCTCGTCCCCCGCAAGTCCCGCCCGAGTAGTGCCTACAGCATGCGCAGAACAGTTCGCGCTACGATATACACACCGATTTTGCTGCGCCGCTCAATCTCGCAATCTCGCGAGATCTCGTACAAAAATTGAACAAGACTCAATCTCGCAAAATATGGACGAGATCTCGCGAGATCTCGTTTTGAACGAGATTGCATTCCCTAATAGTAATCATAGAGACTATCAATAAAGTATTGTATTGGGATCCTTGTCAAGCACTGGCTTATTAGATGAACAAATGGTAAAATTAAATTTTTTTGTACAACCGACTTCAAAATAAACAAAATTAGAACATCATCCATGTAGTCGAAGTCAATTAAATACGCATTATTAAGGATAACTCAAAAACTACTGGTCAGATCTTGATCACATTTATATGGGAACCAAATGAAACGCACCAGCTTTCAAATAAAAAAAGAATCATCTAAATCGGTTCACCTACGAAAAAGTACTCTGGTAACACAAATAAAAAAATGCAGTCGAATTGAGAATCTCCTCCTTTTTTTCTCATCGGTTGCAAAAAAACACGTTTGTAATAAGACGGATCGTGACAACCTTTACTGGCCCACCCAGTCCACGGATTTAAATTTGATTGAGCACGCGTAGGGTGTTCTTCAACAAGGCTTGAAGCTTCGCCTTGGCTTTACGATTTTTTCGCGAGAACCTGGTGACAGAAACTAAACTTTTCATGCATCTGATTTAAAGAAAAAACCTTTCTGCTTAGTCGCTGTTTAAGGTATTCTTAATGCCAATATCATCACCTACTTATAAAGGACAAACTTAAGTGTCTATAAAAACGATAACAGTATCCGTCCCATTGCTGTTTATTAAAATGCATGCAAGAACATAATCTCTAACCTACGGAAAATATCATAATATTCAACTAGGCTTTAGCACTAAAGAAGTTTATGAGGATGCGGTACCTCCTAAATTCAGAGAGTAAATTATTTAATAAAAACTGATGTAACTGATGCAGATGTAAGTAAGGGCCGATCTAAGATTTTTTTAATAATGCTGATATGGTCAATAACATCCCCGAAATTTACTATTACATTTGCCAATATTACCGTCAAAACACAAACTTGTTTTACGAAAAGCATATTATTACTATACACCATATAATTGTAATACTAAGGGTGTCGGAGACAGGCAGCAAGCATCGTCTTCCTTAACAACTAGAAAATAAAAAACATACGTGAGTGTCGTGGAACAGTCGGTTGGAACTAAGTTCCTTTCATAGTATATTATTAAACGTATTATATTATTGATTAACAAATATAAATAAATTAATTATTAGCGTCTATTAAAATGAAGCGTCATTTAAAATAAAATACACTATGACAAAAGGGGTAGTGACGGAAAAATCTTACACTTTTTGTCGCCTAGCTCCCATCCGCCAAACCCGTACCGTCCGATAAGAAACTATGTTCCAAAAACTGGTTGGAGACCATAAACAACAGTGAAGTAAATAAAATAAAATAAAAAATAAAGTTGAACCTAATATATATATATATATAGTAGTATAATTATGGCATATTTTTTTAAAACGTTACCTCTACACTAGGATTTTCTCCTGTATCGTGGGGGCAGTTAACACACATAAATTCTACAAGAACGAACATCCAGACTCGGAACAATTTGTAGGCCATATAGATACTTATTGCGTGCGAAATGCGAACTCGCGGCACTTAGCGCTGCAACTCATTGCTAAGCCACTGCGCCACGGAGCCGTCAATTCAAGCAGTTATTTCAAAGTAAGTTATTTTGTTATTATGTTTTTTTCTTAATTCTTGATATTCACTGAAAATATAATTGCTATGACGAAATATTGACGCAAAGAATCAGTAACAGTTGATTTTCCTCATTTTACGTTTCAGAAACATTAACATTATCATTTTAACTTTTAAATAAGATATGTACAACTTTAATCAACTCTATAACTTGGAATTTATCATTTATAACTTCTTTGTGAATGATAACCTCTTTGCTATAAAGATAATAAATGATATAAAAACTTCCTTCGAGCCGGATTTGAACCAGCGACCTATGGTTGGTTACGCTTGAACTTTTATTTTCTACAGTCCACCGCTCTACCAACTGAGCTATCGAAGGCATGCTAAATATATTAAAAATTTGTATCAAGACAAAAAAGATTGAACTTAGTAAGGATATATACATTGTAACTTGCACTCGGTGGTTAAGAAGGTAATTGAAAAAACCTGACTGCGTGAAAATATTATCTACTGAAATCAGAAAAATTCATATATTATGAAGATGAAACTAACGACAGTTCATATTTTACAATCGTACCATAGCATACCCAAAATAGACATACATAAATAAAAATATACCATACATTCTTACATACGTACATACTTACGTACTGCAAAACTCCGTGACCGCAGTTAAGGGTCGACCTTCACGAATTTCATCATGTAGGACGTTCAATTTTTGCGTTCCAACGTCTTACGGTGCTGAAATAAGATGCTTCCCTAACAAAAGAATTTCGAAGACGAGAAGTGCAATCTTGCGGAGTCTTTTAAAAATCGAAAATAATCTTTTGAAATCTCTTCTCGTTATTTCTCTTTTTCTACGAATGACAAACTTCAACTGTTGATAAAATACAATTAACACCCGAATTCTCGGCAAAAATGTAATATGTACGTTTGAAATATATAATATATATTTTTATATTATACCATTTGAAATTCAAACATTTATGCGTAGCACGGAGCGCAGAACTTTCAGTGTGCCTTATGTTCTTATTACGTTCGCCTTTTACGATCTGCTAGGCAAGTAACACAGTTGGCACATTTTTTTGTTTAAATCCCACATTAAAGGACATTTAAAACTTATAAGTCTTACACCAATATAGGTAACCTTATTAAATTAAATTGACGGCTCCACAGCACAGTTATTGGGAGTTTGCGGGTTCAAAACCCGCACTGAATTATTTTTATATGACTATAAATAATTGTCCCGGATCAGTATATTTGTCCATGCTCAATGTATGCACGAAAAATGTCTCTGCGGTACATGGAATAACCCAAATGTATTAAATTTTCAAAGAATAAAATTAGAAAATATGACTGAACTAAGACGTAAACATTAAGACTGCGTGGTCAGCAACATTTTATTGCTATTATCATAATAGCAATGTTAGCATTTATTAAGGTAGTAAAATTAAATTTGTCTGTGCAGTCACAGATACAAACATTAAATATTTCATAAAACTTTAAACCACATTTATGACGACAACGTATATTAAATGCCTTGAAACAAATGAAAGCTATTCGACAGAATGTTTTTAGCTATATCGCATCGCATACACATGTCATCTTACATAAAATTATCTTATACACTTATCACGAGATTTTCTTTAATCTATTATGCATTACATCCCGTCAAAGTCCACTGCTGTACGTCCCTCAGTCTTCCAATACATTATGTCATAATATATTTACAATAGTTGCCACGCTTGAAATGCGATCTTATTATTATTTTATTGCTTTCTTATTAAGAAGATGCTGCTGCCCAACTCCTGGGAATGAGGTGATCGCTGTCATGGTTGTATTAAAACTCATATAAATAATCGTACAAAATTATTGTAAAATTAATATAATATGCCCCGCTGGGTTTATTGCTGATTCTTCGCAGGGCAGAGGAATTTTGCGAAATAGTGGTAAAAAAAGTTGACGTTCTATAAGTGTTATGTAATAATCTATGATTATATATGTAATGATATATAATACGGTAATATCTTAAAACCTAATGAAACAAACTTTAGCTACTTCATTTTTTCATTCGCTCATAAAAATCTACTGTTGGATCTGTGTCCCTCCCATAGTGGGGAGGATTGACACGCCGTCATTTACTTGTGGTAGAGCCATGATGCAGCTATATTAATAGTATAGTTGTAGCACGAATGGGTCGGCTC